AGATTTTGAGGGTTACCGAGTGATATCATAACCTACATTTATTTCTTTATATCAAGATTCTATTTCCTCGTCTGACTAGCTGTTCGTTGTCGTACCGAAAAAAGAAGATATATCACCGAAAGAAGACAAATTTTATAAGAGGTAAATGTTGAGTTTCATTCATTGTTTGTAAGAATTTACTGATTAGATTGCATATAAGTAAAGCCTGATTCTCCTCTCTCTCAATGATAAATTTAGGCCTTCAACATCGATATTGACGCTTGAAAATGTCTTGAAGAAATGTACGGTAAGGTTAGCTGCACCCAATTGACCCAATGTGTACGTTGGTGTAGTTCGAATCATGTACTATGTGCACTTCGGCCATTTTGATGCATTATTTCTGAAAGAGTTTGCGGTACTTTATAAATCTAGTGACTTTATTTGTCAACTTGAATGCGCCCATTGTGTCTTGAACTTAATATAGGAGTATTACATATATGCATTTATCAAAGAAACGCGACCGACTTATGTCAGTATCGCAAAAGTACTAGAAAATATTAGAAAAAGGATTAAAAATGGCGTGGTTTGCAAGACGAATTACGAAATCCATCAATCATTCATTAAGTAGCCGTTTTTAATACACAGGAATCAGTTCAGTGATTGACTGCTAAGTCACGTGATTGCAAGGATCAATCAGAACACTTAACACCAGTTGCGCTTCTCTGATAAATCTAGGACTCTATCTAAAATTAATTTTCTTTGTATCTCAATTATTATGTGAAAAGTTTAGATCCTACGTACAATGCAAGAAATGTTAGGAACAGAAATAAATATTAAATATTAGAGAAATAAAAAAATTAAGAATAAATTAACACAATGGATTCGAATAATATATGTAACCTTATTAATTTGTATTGTGCATTACGTTAACTTAATTTTTTATTTCTTTAATATTTATCCAATATATATTATATTATTCGTGTTTTTTCTTAATATTTTTTCCACTGTGTGCAAGCTTATATTTTATTATATTAATTGTTTGAAATAATTGCACAAATACGCTAGCGTTTTTATTAGAAATGTAAAGCAGCACAGAATTTTATTGCAACAGCAAGTGCATTTTTCTCTGTTAGACATTGCAGATCATTGATGTACTTGAGAAATGTCGATTCACGTCACCTTTACCCTTTTGCATCAACTAAAGATAACAAAAATACAAGAAACGTAATAGGAAAAACGCATCTGCATGATAACAACATAACATTTCCTTATAATCATCATATCTATAGAAGATTTTGTATATAAGGTCTATTTCTTAGTGAAGTAAGGCAATTGATTGTAAGTTGAGTTAAACGACGATTAACACGATCAAAGAATGATCTTTAAATCTTGCACAGTTTTGTTATGCCTGGTGCTGTGTGCATCATTCGTAATGACACAATCACATGTAAGTACTATAATGTAAACAGTTTCAAATAAAAAG